CTCTTTCCTGTCTAACTTGTATCCCTCTGGAGCCTTTTCCGTTCCTTGTTTCCTAAACCTTATATAAGCATCCTTCTTCCTCTTAACCAGACGTTCGATCTCTCTTGAGAACCAAATCTCCCTCACTCGACTGCATCTTCCCTGCCTGCTGGGGACAAACATATCAAGCACACGCAGTATGCATTCCTTAAACAATCTCCACATTGCTATGGTGCTTTTCCCTGACAGCATCTGTTCCCATTTTATGTTACCCAGTTCCTGCCTAACAGAATTATAATTACCCTTCCCCCAATTATAAACCTAACCCTGCTGTATGTACCTATCCTTTTCCACGACTATTGTAATGTTTGGAGTTTGAACAGAACCACTTCCGAACTGAGAGCTAAGTGTGCTGCCCCTGAGCAGGACACACTCCATCACAGCAGCAGCAGCTTACTTTTCTGTAAATGTTATCAAACAATTTGGCCAGCCTGGCACCCATCAAACCAAACTACCCAGCCTGATGCCTGTCAGTTCAGTGACATGCCCAGAGCTGCGTTGACAAATTGCCCAGTTTAACATCAAACTTTCCTAACTATCTATTTTGTCTTCCTTTGGCATCTTAGCCAATGCATTACCCTGCACTTCATTTCAAACATCTATCACACATTTGAAAGGCATCTAATGAATGGGTGTTTTTTATCTTTACTTTCCCCTTAACTAAGTTCATATCTTCTTTGCCTTGTTTAACTAAAGGAATTCTGGTTTAAACTTGCCTATACATCATTGAATCTTCCTGATACATCACTGATGCTACATTTTAACCACCTTTCCTAGATTGTAGACATCAAACTTCTCTCATCCTCCCACAGTCCATTCCCTTTAAATCTGCTGCAATGCATGCGTGTCTCTTTAGCACACATCGATCACATTAGCTTATAATGAAAGCAAAATACTGTAAAGTGCTGAAGAAGAATCATATCAAATTTGATATATGAACTCTGTTTCTCTGTCCACAGTTGTTGCTGAGTTTCTCCAGCATTTTCTGTTTTTATAACAAATTAACTTGACCTGCTCTTTCCTGATTAATTTTGTGTTTCAAAATTCAACAGCTGATTTCTTTGTGGTGTTGCATAACTATGAAAATGATTGGAGTCTGGATAAAGGTTGATTGCTTTTGCTGCTAATTGGACGATGCATTATAACTTGAGTGGCCCCTTCAATACAACTGCTGAGGTTCTGTCCTGTGGATATATAGATATAAGGCAGCACATCTTCAGATTACTGTGGAAGATTTCTAGAGCCTGTGGGTTACCATGGTCAGAAAAAAAACCAGACAGAACCACTGGCTTTCAGTCTCAGTCTTGACATTTTGCTACTTGGAATTATGTATACACTTGTATGATGGATCCTCACCACAGCTCATGGTGAGGTAATATCTACCTGGTAGATGTGCTGCTATCATTGTCTGTCTTGGTTGAGATCTACAAGATCTGCTTTATCTAGTGTACTGGAGGAAAGCCAGGTGGTAGTCTGTTGAGAAGAGGCTTTCATCTCAAACAATAGGTTGTTTATTGAATGATAGCAACCAGTTGCAATTCATGCCAATATGATAGACATTGTTACCCAATCCATACAATATGGAAATAGGCCATTCAGCCCATTGAGTCCACACCAACTCTCCAAACAACATCCTACCCAGGCCCACCCCCTACTCTATCCCTCCATTTCCCATGGGCAATCCACCTAACCTACACGTCCCTGGACACTATGGGCAATTTAGCATGGCAAATCCACCTAACCTGGAGGAAACCGGAGCAAACCCACACAGACACAGGGAGAATGTGCAAACTCCACACAGACAGTTGCCCGAGGGTGGATTCGAACCCTGGTCCTTGGTGCTGTGAGGCAGCAGTGCTAACCACTGAGCCACAGTGCTGCCCCTAATCCTTGATATGAGGTCTTGCTCCTTTGAGATCTCTAAAACTGATCTCCACTATCCCCCCACCCGCCCCAACCCCGGTCCAGTTACCATCATCATCATCATATTGGATGGAGCTTAATGCACTCGTCAGCAGTGACCCTTTCAGACCCATGCACTCTCATACAACATGGACTTCACAAATCATTTGCTAAGCTTCCTCTGTAAAATATAAACGAGCCAGGCAGTGAATATAAATTAAAGTTTAAAATCCATCCGGATCTGATTATTTTAGTCAACCAGTTCCAACTGCAGGTTACTATACTTTGCACCGTCCAAATAAAGGTCTGCAATAAGTTAGTGGAATCAGGGGCAGAAATGATTAAGGGACCAGTAGAATGATTCATTAAGCAGGAGCCAGAATAGCAGCAGGCAGCGAAGAGAAATCCATCAGCTGGGATTGTGTAGAAAACAATGTACAGGTCCCAGGGTAGTGTTAGTGAGCCCCCCTTGTGTACAGACTGAGGATGTCTGCCTTAAACAGCAGCGTCTGTCTCCATTCCCTGTGATGGTGAAGTAGCCATCGTCTAATTAGCACTGGCACCTGTCCCAGAGAACATGACAGCTCAGAAAACTGATCAACACCCCCTTCCAAGTGAGATTTGCCATGAGGGAGGAACCAGGAGAGGTCTTGCCTCACTTCAGATCTTGGAATTTGGAGTCCATAATTATTTTGAAGAAATCAGAGTTTTACTGTTTAGATCTTTCATTTAAGAGCTTCAACTTAATTGACCAGTTGGTGAGACCTAATGCTGACATGTTGACTGCCGCCTTAGTGATGTAAGATGTTGAGTACAAAACCATTGAATCTTGTCAGGTCTCCTTTCCTTCAAGTCTAGAAAAACCCTCAAACTGTTTGATATGCAGAACTGACTTTGTAACCAGGAGGGTGCCTCACAGTTTGCTTGTCCATGTTCCCAGCTGGAGTTCCCAAAGTGGAATTACATGTACAACTACAAACCCCTTGCTTGTGTGTTGTGCAATATCTCATAGTTTTATGTGATGCTGCTTCTGTACTCTGGGAAGCTGGTGAGTGAGGAAATTTTAAGGATTTTCAGGGTTGATCTATTCCTGAAGCTTTGTTAAATTTTGCCTTTAGTTTGAGCTTAACTTTAACCTTAACTTATAGTTTCCTTTGCAGTGTTAGTCAGTGGCAAACAAGCTGACTGTGAGTCACAGTGACACTGTTATTTAATTAGTTAAAATTAGTAATTACTGTCAGCAATACTGACTTTGATCTTTGGAATTATTGCTTGTGTAAATACAGAGGGTAAGTATTGAATTCGGGACTTGGTGAGCGAGGGAATTTAGTGCAATGGGGGAAGTGAGGCTGTACTGGCATTTACAGAATAAAAACAAGGGGCGTAGTTTTATCTCAGTGATTGGAGGGAAGGGGGTGGTGTGAGGGTCCTGTCTATCTGCTGGAGAGGGAAAAGGAGAGCCCCGCGACGAGGCAGTGAGGCGCAAACCCATTTTATGAAGTGACACTCAGGCACATCACGGGCCTATCCCGGGATTTCGGATCCTGGGTGGAAATTCAACCCTTGGGAGACGCTGGCTAGTTGGAAGTCTGAAAGCTCTCTGTTGACCATCTGTGCCACTGGTGGGGCAAATGAACCTGCCTAGAGGCTGAGAAATTCGAGAGGCTCAGTGATGGGTGGGAGTGGGTCAGTGGCTGACGAGGTAGAGGTGAGGGAGGGAATCAAAAGTGAGGGTGATAGGTAGCTATCAGTGGGCTGTAAATGTTGACTAAATGTTGAAGTTGGAACATGTCACATTTCTCACCCATCCATTTCACACCCAAAGCATCTCTGGCATCATTTTATGTCAGCCCACCTTTCCGGTGTCCTGCATAAAGTATAGACCGTGGTTGTTCGTATTTCAAACGTTTAAGGATCCAAATGCTATTCTCAACAGTTGATCAGGTCTGCACTGTGCAATATTCTGTAATATACAACAATCTGCAAATGACGGAACTGATTAAACAGCCAGGAGGTTGGCAGCAGATGGCATTATCAGTGTTTTGACGAAGTCACAGCTGGGTTGTTTTGACTGGCGGATAGACACTCCTACTGTTCTGGCTGCTGAAGCTTTACATTAACTCTTCCAAAAGCTGAACTGTTCGGGTCTAAGGGTGGACAGGGAAGATCCCACAGCATCATTTGTTGAAGATTGGTGATGATCTTCAGTGGGTGTTGATGGGGTCACTGTGTGTAAGGTGGTTGCTGTGATTCCCCACAGCAGTGACCACACTTCAAAAGTATTTCATTGGCTGTGTGAGGCACTAACATTTTTGGTTTTGTCGAGGGTCTTCTGATGCACTTCTGGTTGACCTTTCATTGGTTTTTTTTTAAGTTTAATTCTCAGTGTGCAGGTTTTTGCTGCGAAGTCCAGTATTTATTTATAAATCTGTCTTTACCTATGAAAAGGTGAGTGTGGGCCTCGTTTAACAATCACTACACATATGGTCCATTGTGCGCTGTTCAGTGAAATTTTGATGCTGCCACCATGAAGGACTGGTGAGATATGTCCATGTGATGGAGGCCATGGTGCTGTTGTAGTTGTCCTTCCAGGCAGTAGACTTGGGAAGTGCCCTCCAAGGATGTGTTGATTGGAATATTGTGGTGGCTGGAAGAAGAGGTTGGAGCAGACTGGGAAGGTGCCGCAGGGGTAAGAGGTGGATGTTACCCCACTAGAGCGTGCAGACATTAGCCCTCATCACTGCAGCAAGCTGTGAGTAGGCTGAACTTCACCTGGATACCTTCAGTCGAAGTCACCCTGCCCCATGCCCTTGGCTGTTAAAGCCTTTGTGAATGTCAGTCTTTATACCTCAGGGTCATTCCAGGCTGTATGTAAGCCGCAAGCAGATAACTAACGTGCTTTTCGCCAGTGCTAACATCTCCATCTCTGCACCTATTAATATCACACAGCAGGGATAGCAGCACATTCGAAATGGAAATTCCAAGTTCTCTGGTGTGTTTTTCTATTCCTGGTCTCCAGTAACGTCCTGTGTAAACATCACCTTCACTTCTCTTTTCAGGGAGAACAACATGTCCCCGGTAGAGACAAAACAAGAAACTCCAGAGCAAGCACAGGATTCCAGTGAGGTAGGTGGTAAACAAAGAAGCCATTCGATCATCACCACTTGGGATGGTCTTAAGTTCTTCAGAGTTTCTTCTGCTTGTGTCTAAACTCTCACCAATTCCTTTCATCTGTCCACCCTGGGCTTGCTAATCTACAATGGTGCCCAGTCCACCAGTGGATTGTAAACTCTCATTCTTATGTTCAGATCTCTTCATGATCTCACCTCTCTCTCTTTTTCTCTCTCAATCCCTGCAGCGTTCTGAGAACTCTCAATTCCTCCAACACTCTTGCGCAAACCCTCCCCAGTTACTTCACCCAGTGGCTGATGGGTATACTTAGGCCTTGATCTATGGAGGGCCCTCTCCAAACATCTTCACTACATGTCCATTTGACAGCTGTTAAGGCTTAGCCCTTTTGGTCACAAGCCCTAAACATTGCGTCAGTATCAAATCATTGCATAAAAACACTTTTGTGAATTGCCTTGGGGTGTTTGGCTGTGTGAAAGGGGCTACATAAATGCACAATGTAATTGCCTGTTAACTGTAGCCCTTCATTTCTTTGAGCTATTCCGATTTGGTGCAAACGTTAATCAAATGTAGTTGTTGAAATGTTTCAAATGCGGTTAGGAATCAAAGCCTAATGTGCTTTTCAGATCTCAGGTGTTTTCCATGTGTGAGCTTGATCAAAGATTGTCAAGTGAAATGTTGCATGCTCAGAAAATGCATAATTAATGAAACATTTCCCTGGTGAAAACAGATTCAGGAAATTTTTTTGAATTGTTTTAGATTTTTGGATTTAGATTTAGTGCCATGCATATAAAAATACAGTGAAAAGCAACACTCCAGTGCCATCTCAAAACACTGAATACAATGGAAGAATTTACTGCAATTGAGATCATCGTTCTCCCTTCTCCTTGTTCCTCCCCTGCTGCTCCTCCAGTCACTGCTTGACATTGGCCAGAGTCTCTGAAACGCTCTCCTGGGACTCAGTTATAGGATCTAGGAGTCTCGGTTGCAGGCCTCCGCTGCTGCCACAATCAAAGCTGGAAGCCATAGGCCTGGGGCTGCACAGGTTCCACACCTCCAGCTCCCCATCCGACACTCCACCAGACGCTGCTTCCAGTCCACCGTGCGTCCATTTCACCAACACTTCAGTTCGTACAGGCGTCCGGGCCTAGCCGTGGACCCAGAGCCTTGGCTCAGCCTGTGAGGGTGGGCTGCAAAACATTTGAAGAAAAAGAATAAACTGAAGATTTTTATACTGTGATTTCTTTTTTGTTTTGACATAGAATAGGAGAAAATGTTAGGAAAAGGATGTTGCTTTGTTGATGCTGCTAAAAATACCTTTGCACTAATTCTCTATATTGCTATAGCAACCAACATCAGACGATGGTTTTGGAAATGCGCTTATTGTGCTTCTTGCTGTTTTTGTTGTTTGTGGTGATATTGTCTGGTCTGCTTGAAGCAGTTCCCAAGGGCAGTCTTTGCAATGCATTCTGGGCTATTCAGAGTCAGCAAATTTTTTTGCACAATATGAATAATAAAATTAATCTTTAGTGTAGCCAGTGGTGGGGGTGGGAGAGGGTCACTTTGCCGTTACAGAGCTAGATTTAATGGAGGTTAAAAAAAAGGTCTCATCTGGTGTACTACTCAGGCTCCTGACTGGCAAGTCCTCAAGGTCAAGGTCCCAGCCGGGGAGTGGAAGCCCATTGAGTACAGCCGGACAATCAGAAGCCAGCAGGTCTATTGAGCAGCAGTGCCCCTGGGCAGGCAGTGTTTGTTGCTGGTATTACACCCAGCTGAAGCCTAGGTTCCTCACTAGATTCCTCGTGCCATAGGTAAGTGACAGCAGAGTGGGTGTGGTGTCAGTATAAAGCACAGGGAGTGGCTCTCAGCCGGACCACCCACACACCCCACTCTCCTTCTCCATATACCAAAAATCTTGATTAGACTCTGTCCCCCACTCTCACAAAAACCCACAAACAGCAACACAGCTTGTCATTCTCCCCACCATCATTGTCTGCTCTCACCTTCTGCTGGCTGAATACTACCAGTGACAGGATGCAGTCCTTCATGAGACATTAATTGCCCAATGAGGGCCTCAATTGTCAACAAAGTGGAAAGGCCATCTACCATCTTGCCCTTAATCAGGAAAGGCAAAGGATTCTCCATCTACCATCCTGCTGCCTTGTCAACTCACAACCATCAAATCTGCCTCATCCCACTGGCACCAAACTTGGGTTAGGCCATCCAATTCTGCCCATTGTTTCCCACTCAGTGAGTGCCCAATCATGTTTATGTTGTTTGGGAGATGACGCAGAGTGGAGGACTGCACATGAGGAGCCATTGGAAATTGGGTAACTGTTCACTATCCCTCACTCAGAATTTTCTTCTTTCCCACCAGCAGATGGTTCCTCGGAGTAATGGACTTTGTGACTGTTGAATTTAGGCCAATGGTGGGTGTGCAGCCATAGACCGGGAAGAGAGTGAAGGGAAATCTAATAGTAGAGGAAATGTGAATGGGTGAGGGTTTTTAATACACCATTTGTAATGTTACATTGAGCTGATTGTTTTCTGTCTTACGTGGTTTGAAAATGGAAATAATTAACCAAAAATTGCAGTGCTATGGAGAGAAAAGAAGGGAGTAGGACTAATTGGATAGCTTTTTCAGTGATGGGTGCAATGGGACAAACAGTCTTCTCTTGTGCTGTATACAAAGATGAGGAAAAATTCAAAAGCAAAGACTATGCCTGACTTCTTTAAGTGACTGGTTTGGCTTCAACTAAGGTCAATTCTAGACATCACAGCGGTGTGTGCAGAGTTAGAAAAACTAGAACTGTTGTCTTGCAACAGGGAAGATTAAGAGGCAATCGAACAGACATTCAAAGAATGCGATACAGCGAAAAAACTTTCACTTCTGGGTCAATTTGCAAAGGCCTTGGATTCAAAACCATTAGCATCAGATTGAGATGGGAAAAGACATCTGAGATGACTCTAAAATTCTCTAGATTTATCTCTGTCCAGAAAAGGAACACAATGTATAATGGCACTATAAAAAAAAATTAAAAGCCCCAAAAAAGCACACTGCACAGAGTGATGGAATGTCCCAATCAGATTAATATATTCATTGACTTTGTTAGATATTTACTCATTAAAGCCTCATATCTTTGTAGAATTAGTATCAGAATATGTTTAACAATTAGATAATGGCTCTAAGAGCAGGTGTCTGAAATATTATCCAAAATTAGAGCATTAATTTTTTTTTTAAATCTTGTCTAAATGAAGGATGAAGAAGAATTCATGTAACTGTCCTTTCTAGAAACAAGCTGACAAATTCAGGGCATTCCATTCGTTGGTCATTTGAGGTCACTTTGAGGGTCCTTAAAACCTATTGATGCTGCAGTTTTTATTTGTTTTTGTTCTTGAATGTTCCTTGAAGCCAAAATCTTTAAATCCTCTGCAACGTGTGATACCAAATGAAGTCTTGCATCCCTGTCAAGAAAAAGTAATTGAAACATTTTCAATCCTTGATTTTAACCACTTAAGGACAAGGTTGTACGTGACAATGCATTGCAATCTGAATCGATTAACTGGTACAAAAATGAGAAAGTAATAGCTACGAGAGTTTTGGAAGCGAGTTGTGGACATTTTGCTTAACTATGCTAGATGTCAACTTCTAAATGGAGCTGGCTGTAAGATACACTTTTGATTTGACTTATTATTGTTACACGTACCTTAGATACTGTGAAAGGTTTTGTTTTGCATGCAGTACAGGAAGATCGTATCATACAAAGGGCATTAGGCTAATTGAACAGAGCGAGGAATACAATATTTACTGCTGCAAAGAAGGTGCAACAGAGTGAGAACAACATTAAATTTAAAGTTTGAGAGGTCCATTCAGAAGTCTAATAACAGTGGAGAAGAAGCTGTTCTTGAATCTGTTGATTTATGTATTTAAGCTTTTGCCTGATGGAAGAGGTTGGAAGAGATAATAACCAGGGTGAGAGAGATCTTCAATGATGTTGGCTGCCTTTCTGAGGCAACGAAAAGTTTAGATGGAGTCAGTGGGTGGCAAGTTGGCTTGTGTGATGGAGCAGAGACCTAGGTCTTGGAGTTTGGAGATTAGTTTGGTAGGAATTGTAGTGTTGAAGGTGGAACTGCAGTCAATAAGTAGAGCCTGATCTAGATATCCTTGTTATCCAGATGTTCCAGGGATGAGTGTGGGGCCAGGGAGTTAGCATTTACTGTGGACATGTTGTGACAGTAGGCGAATTGCAAGGGATCAAAGCGGGCTGGGAGGCTAGAATTGATGTGAGCCATGACTAACCTCTCAAAGCTCTTCATAATTGTGGAGGTCAGAGCCACCAGGCAGTAGTCATTGAGGCATGAGTTTTCTTTGGTGGTGGATGATGATGGTCTTCTTGAAGCGGGTGGAGACTTCAGATTGTAGCAAGGAGAGGTTAAAGACGTCAATGAATACTCCGCCAGCTGATCCGCATGGATCTGTGTGCACAGACTCTATCTGGGCCAGTCACTTTCTATGGGCTCCCTCTCAAGATGCTGATCTGACGTCTGCAGTGGTGACAGAAGGAACAGGTGCATCTGAGGCTGTCGGGACAGGTGACATCATTTCACTGACTTGCTTTTCAAAATGAGTGTAAAACGCATTCAGCAAATGCATTGGGGATATTGCTGCAGTAGACAAACAGCACCAATATTCACAAAGAAACTGTGCTAATTTTAAAAGGCTGGCTAACAGTTCCAGTTCATTATCAAGGTTAACAATCGCTTCAAGGCTTCAGCTGTCACAGTGCAAATGGTTGTGAGCTCCCAGATATGGATTTCTCTGTGTAAAAGTTCAGGATGTGGACGATAAGCTGACTCAGATGGCCCCAGTCCTCACATAAGCTCTTCCTCTTCCACATGTGGACTCAAATCTTCCCTGGCACACCCTCAAGGGTTGTCCATCTTTTGCCTGGAGGGTAGAAGCAGGGACTTCGCCACTCGCATCAGTCACCAACTTG